GCCGCTGGCTCTGGACTGTGCCAGGGCCCATCGAGCCCATGCTGTGGCGGCCGAGGAGGTCGCAGCCCTCACCGGGGAGTTGGAGCGGCTTTGGGGAGGCCCCTTGCCACCTGCGCCAAGAATTCTCATCGAGGAACTCCCGGGCTGATCTGGGATCTCCCTGTCCTTAATAAAGCTGTGACTGGTCTGCCCTGTCAGCAGTGCCTGCTTATGACCCACAGCTGCTGTCCACCCACCCCCACCCCCGCCATTCCCATACTCTCAAGCCCAAAAGCCACCTCTCAGCTTGTCCTGGATCCGAGCTGACCCAGCCAATTTTTAAACACCCTGGCCCCAGAAAGGGAGGGAAGTGGTACCATGGCTTCCAGATGTTTATCCAGGAGGAAGAGCAGCGCCTCCACTCCCATTGTTGGGCACTGGCTGCATTTCTTCTTGCTCCAGAGCCCTTGTCCGAGACTGTTCGTCCCTGCTTGCTGCAGCTCAGAGCGGCACAGGGCCCAGGCTCCCGGTGCTGGCTGCACTGGCAGACGGGTGGGCACCTGCCCTGCCTGGGTGAGCAGAGCCACTTCAGTAGACGTAGGGCAGGATTCGGTAAGGCACGCGCCGGCAGTACTCACGCCAGGCCAGGCCGTACTTCCGCAGGCACTGCTGCTCGTCCCGGGCCTCGCGGTGCACCAGCAGTGCCGTGAAGTAGAGGACGTAGAAGTAGGGCAGCAGGTGGGACACTCCTGTGGGGAAGTGGAGGCTGTGACCGCCCAGCAGCCCCCCAGTTCACAAAGGTTTCCCCATCAAATGGCTCACAGGGACAAGGGCTCCTTTGGAAGGTCTGCAGCGCGGTGCTGGCTCGCAAGCCTGGCATGGAGGCCCGCCCCCTGCCACTCACTGAGTCCGTTCCCAGCTCCCTGACCCCTCCCTCCGCTAGGGGATGGGACAGCCCCGTTCTCACGTCCACACCCAGACGGGACATCCTGTGGTCACCACCTCTGTCCCCCTCATGTGTGATCCCCATCCCGTGCCCCCCCAAGCCACTCACCACAGGGCAAGGACCAGGCCAGAGCCATGATGAGGTCTCCAAGGTAGTTGGGATGGCGGACCATACCCCACCACCCAGACACCAGCAGCTGTCGCCCCGTGGCTGTGGGGATGGTCTCAAGGCCTGGGGGAAGAAAGGGAGTGGGATGGGGGAACCGGCAGGAGCCCAGCTGCACTGCTTCGCTCATGGCTTCCTGGCAGCCCAGCTCACCAGCCACTCTGGGGTCAGAAGGGTTCTTCCGGAAGGTGTTCTTCTGGGAATTGGCTCCCCGGAAGATGTAGTAACCAACAGCTAGGGGAAGGCATGGGCAAGTGGTCAGGGTCGAGGTTTAGAGCCTTCTAGGTGACCCTGACCATCCACCCACAGCCCAGACTCCATTCGCCTGGAGACCTAGGACCCAGCCCTTCCCCCACACACACCCCCATCCCCACCCCTGTGTTAGAGGAGCACCTGAGGCTTAGTATCAACAGGGTGCTGAAGAAAAGGCAGGAATGAATGAAAGGGGGAGGAGCCCCGTCCTGACTGACCATTCATGAGGCAGATGACGGAGGCCATGGGCAGCCCCAGGGGCTGCGGGTGGTGGAGCAGGAACTGGGCCTGCAGGCTGTAAGTGAAGGGGACCCACGCCAGGTCCCCAAAGGCCAGCATGAAGCCAAACCCATCATGCGTGATGTCCATGGTGGTGAGGACGGCCTCCTGCAGGGATGGGACCCAGACACACCCGCTTAGTCCCCATGAGGTCCTCAAATCCCTCCCTGCCTCTTTGTCCGGTCCAGCCTCACCTCGTGCCAGAGAGCATCGGCCACATAGAGTAGCTGGAAGCCATTGACCAGCCACATGGCCAGTGAGGGAGTCCCCCGAAGCTCCGCTTCCTGCATCAGCAGGGCCAGGTTGATGAGGACCTGGGGACGTGGGAGAGGGAGGACAGGGCAGTCTGTCTCCAGCCCGCCTCCATGGAGGTGGCAGCACCTGGGGGGGCAGTGGCTAGCCTTTCCCCTTATCTCTCTCGGCTCTCGGCCACTAAGTCCTCGGCCCTTTGCTGAGTGGATCCAGCCCCTGTACCCGGGGCAAAGACTGCCACGTATGCTTCCAGAGGGGCTCCCTGCCCGTGGGCTCTCGCCTTGTCCTGTAATGTTCCTTTGAGGAGAGCAACGTAGAAAGCCACTGGACACGTCAGGCTTGGTTTTAAATCTCCGCTTTCCCACTTGAGCAAATTGCTTTCCCTCTCCAAAGGCCCCTTCCCCCCATGCCATGTGGTAAACGGAGTTAATCATGGACCTGCCTCACGTTGCTGTTGGACTTGTTGACACGAGGCATGTTCCTGGCTCACAGTAAATACACATGAGTAAACCCATTCTGGTAGCGCTGGGTTGGCGCTGTCACTAACGTTACCACTTCTAACCCTCACCAGAACCTTTGCAGGAAGTTCTCACTTTATCCCATCTTACACGTGGGGAAATCGCCTTGGAGGCCAGGGTGCAGATCCACGGTGGACCCTTGGCCTCCTCTCACCTCTAGTCTCCAGGGTGACATGAGGGACGTTACCCAAGAGACCCCTGGGGAAGCTGTGACCGCAGTCCAGCATGGGTGATTATAACCCATAACCACAGTTGGCATGTCCTCAAGGCCACTAGTGATGGACAGCTTGCTATGCCCAATGATCAGTCTCAAGTTCTACGCCACTAGGACCAGCAGGTGGCATAGCATCAGCCTCTCCAGTCCTCAAAATAGAGTTTGAGCTTGATTTATTTAAAGTCGCACCTGCTCACCTAACTCCCTCCATGCTTTTTCTCCCTAGCACATAGCACCCCTGCCGTGCTGTACAGATTTCACTTATGTTTTGTCTGTTTTTCCTCGAGTGTAGGCTCCATAAGGACAGAGTTTTGTTTTTTTGGGTTTTGTTTTTTTGCTTTCCTATAACTTTCTTTCTCTTTTGTCTCCTTGTACCTGGAGTAGTGTCCAGGGCACTCAACCAGTATTTGTGGGATGAATGATTAATGGTTTTCATCTGTGCAATAGTGGCCCGGCCCTGCCCTGCTCAAACACTGCTTCCCTACCCCGCCCCTCCTCCTGGCCCACATAGCCATGCCCAGCATACCCAGCCGATGAGGCCAGGCCGCAGTTCACAGAAATATTTGAAGTCGAACGACCAGATGCGCGGGTTGAGCTCCCGTCCCAGGAAGAAGTCGTAGATGGGATTGCCTGGAGAACAACGGAGCCTGAAGACGCGAGCAAGCACCCCCATCTGCTTCTGTCTGCACCCTACTGGGACCCCTCTCACCTGAGTTCCCCCCAGGCGCCAGGGCTGAGGCAGGGGCCACCAGAGCCTTCAGATAGAGAAGGAGGCTGAAGATGAAGGCCGTGAGGGTGGCTGCAAAGGCCAAGGGCAGGAGCATTTCTGGGAGGGCCCCCAGAGGCAGCCCAGCACACACAGCCAAGCCCACCAACAGGGCTGTCAGCACCAGGGCCTGGAAGCCTGAAACCAGTACACAATGAGTCCTGGGGGCTGAGCCTCTCTACACCTGTGCCCTCGTCGCCCCCCCCCCCCCCCCCCCCCGACACACAGACACAGTCCAAAGCCCAAGGAGGTCAATGACCTTGCCCTTGGCTTTCAGGGGGTCACCCCAACCACTGCTCTGGTGCATAGAGTAAGAGCAAATGCTGCGGGTAGGTGTGGAATAACAAGGGACATGGAGAGGGACACTGAATCCCCCAAGGCTACCCCGGGCACACAGCGTAACACAGGCATCTAACGGAGCTTGGGGCTGGGGCTAAACTCCACTGGGTCTAGAGCTCCACCCCCACCGGCACAACTCCAGCGCGGGGATCCATCCCCCCACCCCCTCGACCATGCACCGTTAATGGGGTAGCGCAAGCGACTCTTGTCCTTCAGTTCCTGTCCCTCCGCCACCTGTGAGCACAAAGAGGCTCTGATAAGGGGTGAGAGTGAACCCCCTCCCTCCGCCCGCCTCCCGCGAGAGCCGAGTCCACACCTTGCGCGCCGGCAATAGGTAGAGAGCCGCCTGAAGGCCGAGCCAAGTGAGCCACAGCAGCAGCATCTGCGGGCTCCACAGCACTTCGGGCCCCGGAAGGTAGGGGGGTAGGCCCAGGAGGCGCGCCGGGCCCGAGCGGGCCACCAGGAGCAGGTGGAACATGGTGGCAGGAAGCAGCAGCATCAGCGCCGCGGCGCCTGGAGACGCGGGGGCGATAGCGTCGGGCGTTCGCTCCGCAGCTGTCCACCAGGGCCCCCTCCGCATTCCCACTGCCCAGGACCCCTCAGGGCCCCCCACCCACATTCCCACTGCCCTCTTCCATACCCCGTTCTCAGCCCTCAGCCCTTTCCCTTCCATCTTGAGCCCCGCCCCCTTGCTCCCCCGAAGATCCTCCCGCTCTCGGTGCAATCCTCCAGATCTGGTGCTCTGGCCCTCCCCAGTCCCCCGCAACCCCCAGATCCCTCTGCCTCGGGACACCCTTCAAAGCTTTCCATTCTCAGATCCCGCTCCTCTGCCCTCCCCCCCGCAGCCGTTTGCAGTTCACCCCACTTCGCTGAGCCTGACCCCAGATTCCACCCTTGCCCCATTACCCAGGGGTCCCCCGAATTCCAGCGGAGGCCGGGAGCCCTGAGGAGAGGCCATGGTCTCCGCTCCACCGCGGGGGGAGGGAGTACACAAGAGTCCGTCAGAGAAACACAGTCCACCTCATCCCGAGGACATGAGCCTGGTGACGCGGGGTATCAGACCGCTACACAGGAACCTGCTTGGTCCCCGCGCTCGGACTACCACCACTGGCGTCCCGAGGTCTTTAAATGGCCCCACCCCCGGCCCATCCTGGGCCCAGCAATCCAGCCAATCAGCTCGGGGGGCGGGTCGGCCGCGGGCGCCTCCCGAGCCACCTCCCAACTCCACCCGGAGCCGGCCCTACCCCCCCCCCCCCCCCCCCCCCCCCCCCCCCCCCCCGGCGGGGGGGGGAGGAGACAACACGTCTTTATTGCCGGGTCTGGAGGCCGGGAGGGGAGGGGGCCGCGGACGCACTGGAGACCGGGGGATGGAGAGGTTGGGGCGACAGCGCAAGCCCGCGCATGGCAGCGGCCCCGCCTAGCCCCGCTCGCAGATGACCTCGACGACACTGGGTTCCATGGGCACTGGGTCCGGGCAGCGCAGGGCGGCCGAGGCCACCACTTCATCTAACAACAGGTGCACAAGCTCCTCATCGGCCACGAAACGCCACAGGTAGAGCTGCAGGAAGTGACAGTCCACCTGCACCTGCTGCAGGCCGAAGCGCCCAAAGGTTCGCAGCCGCACGCATTCGAGCAGCGTCTTCAGGCTGATCTTGATGATGCCGGTTAGCACGGATACCTGCGGGCAAGGATACAGGAATGCAGCCCCGGGACGGCCGGCGTTGGGAAGGAGCACTGGGTCCCTGAGGGCACCCGCGTTTTGGGCAGGGGCCAAAGAGACAGCAAGAGGCCAGGATGTAAAAGTCCCAGGACCCCCTAAGAGGGAAGGACAGATACAATGTTGGCACCATCTTCTGGGGAACAGACAGGGACGGCCCAACGATCAGAAATAGAGGTGGGAGGGAGCCCTAACACCCTAACACCGGGAGCCGAGAGGCTGGCTCAGTTAGAGACAAAAGAACACCAGGTGCCAGAATGTAGGCTGGTTTGGGGCAGAAACGAAGGTGTGGACAGGAATTCCTGGGGAGGACCGGGACTACTTTAACGACAAGGACAAGAGTCAAAGTGGCATTCTAAAGTACATCCAGACCCAGGCTGGGAGCACACCAACGTCAGGGCAGAGGGCCAAGGGATATGGTGATAGTGGGGCTCTGAATGACCGTTCACTCCTAGAAACAGCCCAGAGATGGAGCCTGGGTAGGGACCGAGGTTCCCTGACTCAGTATGGGACTGCTTCAGCCAACCTTCCCAAGGGCCCATGGAAGGTGGGGTCACTGCGGGCTCAGACCTTGTTGAACTCCACAGGGCTGAACACATCAATACGCTCAGAAAACAGCTTCTGGATGTTGCTCAAAAGATTAGTGTCCATTGGGGCGCTGGATGGTGGGGAAGACAAGCAATCAGAGCCCACCCTGCACCCCCGTCCTCCACTGTCCATCCCCCCGGGGTGACCCTGGCCAGCCAGACCTGGGCGTGTAGCTAGGTGCGTAGCGGCCCTGCTGCCTAGAGCTGCTGTACACAGAGAAGGTCCTTTTGCTGGAGTCGCTGCTCTGGGCCTTGCGGACACCCTCTTCATACAGAAGCCCCACCTGGTGGCGAAAGGAGGCATTGCAAGGAGGCCAGAGCAAAGGGAGCCTCCAGGACACCAGGACACCCTAAATGACAAACTCATTCGTTAGGAGAATCACAGAGTAGTGGGGACCTGGTATCTAGTTGGTACCTGGTCATTGTTTGGAGAACCGGGGGAGTAGGGCAAAGGCGGGACATAAGACTTGGTACTGAGGCCCCATCTTCCGTGCTAGCCCTGCCCACCCTGATTCCCTGGATGAAATGGGGGCAAAGACACCTCCGAGCCAGGGCTGAGGAGGAACAAGGCCACAGATGCAGGCACTGATGTCTTCATCTTCCGAGGGCTGCTACCCCCACACCCACAGCCTGCATCAGGAGCCCCCGGCCAGCCTGGGGGGAAGCACCTGCACGTCAATCGCCGTGGTGTCCTCCACCACCCGCTTCATGACAGCACGCACGTTCCGGGGCTCCAGGGTGCTGAGCCAGTCCCGGGTCTCCACACTCTTGCGCAGCATCTGCGAGATGACCAGGCCCTGCACCTTCACATAGTGGGTCAGTAGCCTCCGTGCTGTCTCCCTCGCCTCCGCACACAGCGTGCTCACGGGTGTCACTGGAGACTGGTCCTGAGCCAGGGGCGCAGAGGACAGAGAGACAGTGAGTGCTGGGGGCAGCTCAGGGGCCCCTGCCAGGCAGGAGCAGGGCATAGGCTGGGCCGAGGCAAGGCCTAGGCAGCTGGCCTGAGTCTGACCACAACAGCCCTGTCCGTGGGGGACCACCATCCCCGACCCTGCTGCGAGCTAGTGGTTCACCTGCACGAGAAACTGCTCATCAGTGAGGGTGAGGATGTAGGAGATGGTGGCTGTCTCATAGTCCAGGCAGAGGCGGGAGAGCAGCAGGAGCAGAGCTGGTGGTGTGGCACCCCCCTTCTCCCCGGGGCTGTCACAGAAGCTCTGCGCTGTCTGGCACATGGAGCGGATGAAGCCCACGATGAGGCCCTCGCGAACACCCTGGCTGCAGAACTCGCCCTGTGAGAAGGAGGGCCCCGGATACATAGCAGGTCCCCTCTCCCAGGCAGGGGCTGCTAGCGACCCTCATCTGGGACCCTAAATGCCCCCCATCTGGGACCCTAAATGCCCTAGCCCCTCTCCAAGGGACAGCTTTCTCCTGCATTCCAGGACCCAAGAGTAGCTCCCCTGCTTGGTGGGGGGTGGGGGGGTTGCAAAGGGACAAAGCCAGTGCTGGGGACACTGCTTGCAGATGCCCTCCCAGCCTTCCCCTCCCCTCCAGGCTCTGCCAGCCTTCCTCCTGACAGTCTGAAACCACATCCAGAACTCCTGGGCAAGGACTGGTGCCCTGCAAACTGCCAAACTCTAGGATGAATAAAAGAATGCCCAGAATGGGGGTGGGGGGGGGATATGCCCAAAGGCAGGCCATACCCGGAAATAGGGCTTGTTGGAGAAAGACACCTCCTTAGCCGTGAAGAGGTGCACAGCTGCTAGGGAGGCCTTGATGTGGCTCAGGATGGAGCTGGCTACGTTGGCCAGCAACTCGGCCAGGCCGGGGCCTTCCTTTCCAGCCAGGCGAGGTGCAGCCAAAGCCTGCCGCACGTCGGTCAGGCAACCCAGGAAGGCGGCACGCAGGCCCTGCAGGTGGTGGCCCAGGCGCTCCCGGGCCACCCGCTCCACGATCTCCGTGGCGGCCTCCGCCAGCCCTGCAGCGGCCAGCAAGGCCCCAGGCGCGCGCAGGCGCCGATGGAAGCGGTCCAGCGCCCGCACCAGCAGCGAGTTGTCGCCGCTGCCCTGCTCCTGTGCCAGCCGCCGCTCCACCAGTGCGAAGTAGCGGCCACCCAGCTCCCGGGCAAAGGCTGCCAGCTTCTCGGCACCCGCCGGGCCCTGGGCCGCAAACAGCTCCTGGTAGGCTGAGGCCACCTGGCAGAGGCCACCCACGAAGCCACTTCCTCCGAGATCGGTGAACTCTAAGACGTCGGGAGCGGGAGGGGAGGGCCCCAGCTCCGCCTCCAGGCTCCGCAGCTCAGCCTCCAGCCGCCCGCGGGCGTGCGCCAGGAACTCGTCACACAGCTCCTCCGCGGGCTCGCCCAGGGCCAGCAGCAGCTCCACGCACTCTGCCTGCTCCGGGGCGCCCGAGCCGCCCTCCCTGCGAGGTGGGAGGTGGCGGTGAAGGACAGGCTGACACAAGTCGGGGTGGGGTGGGGGAGACGCCCAGCGGGGTGGGTCAGCGCCCCCGGGGCCGCACCTGAAGCGCTGCCGCAGCTGCTGAGCCAGACGAGCCGTGATGACCTGGCAGTCGTCCTGGATGGCGCGGAACGAGGGCAGGTGCTGGTACTGCTGCAGCACGGCCCGCGCGCGGCCCTGGTAGCGCACCGCCTGCCCGTAGGCGCCCAGCTCCACGCACTTGGTGAGGCGCGAGGGCAGCTCAAAGAGGAACTGCAGCTTCCGCAGCAGCGCGTGGACGCCTGGGGGACGGGGACAGGTGGTGTGAGCCCCAGGGCTCCGGGTGGCCCACTCCGGCTCCGGCTCCGGCTCCGGGACCCAGCCCACCTGCTAGTTTGGTGATGCGCTCGTGGCGGTCCTGCAGGGTGGCGCTGATGCGCGCGCTGAAGTCCGTGATGACCGCCATGTTGGTGGCCAGCCGGTCCATCTCGTCCTCCATCTTCCGGAAGTCGTTCTTCATCTTCCGGATGGTGTCTGGGCAGGCAAGGGAGCGGGAGAGGGGAAGGGGGATACTTGGCACAGGGGCAGCGCTCAGCTTGAGGCAGGGTCCAAATGCTCCCCGCAAACACACACTCATGCACGTGCGCGCGCCTCTTTCCCAGATGCTCCTGAGCCAGCTCAAGGGTCACATTGATGATTCAGTGCAAAAGGGTCTGCCATGGTGCTTGGTCACAGTAAATGGAAGGGAGCACCCCTGGTGTGCCCTGGTGCAGTGGGGAGAGGCTTATGGACCCACAGTCCCTGCACCCAAGATGCCAAAGGAGAGCACAGAGCACTTGGCAGGAACCTGTCTGCTCCTGCTGAGGGGCATCCTCTATGTCCAACTCACTGCCTGGCACAGAGGAGACACCTTCATGTCCTTCCCAGAATGCCCAAGCCCTTTCACTTCACCTTCTGGAACACAGCCAACCCTCTCCAAAGGTCCTTTCCCTTTTGTCTTAGGGGAAACCTGCCTAAGGAGACAGTTCTTCTCATACCCAGTGCCTCAGAGCCTGGCCCCTTGACACCTCTAGATAGTTTCTACTCTTCCTCCCTTTTAAGACCCCAGCTTCTTGGAAGACCATGCCATCAAACTACACCCCTCTTGCTGCCATCCCTATTGTCCTCGGTGCCACACATCTACATTGCTGATCACTGTCACCTCCTTGTGGACAAGAACATCCATCCATATGGGGATGCCTGGGTGGCTCAGTCGGTTAAGCGTCTGCCTTCTGCTCAGGTCATGGTCCCAGGGTCCTGAGATCAAGCCCTGCATCAGGCTCCCTGCTCAGCGGGGAGTCTGCTTCTCCCTCTGCCCCTCCCCCCAATCCTATTCTCTCTCACATCCTCTGCTCTCTCTAATAAATAAATAAACCTTAAAAAAACAAAAATAAAAACCCATAAAGAAAGAAATGTATTATTGGGATAAGGGTACCATTCTAGGTCAGTGGGCAAAAGATGAATTATTCAACAAATAGTGTTGGGACAAATGGAGAGCCATTTGAAACAAAAGTATAGCTGGATTCAGACCTCACACCTAACACACACACAATCACACACAGAGCAGATGAATCCAAGTTTAAGTGTGATTTAAAAATGTAATCACAAAAGTATGTGAAGAAAATCAGGGAGAATTTTAAATAATATTAGGGATGGAAAGGTCACTCTAAAACACCTCAAACTCAGAAGTCATCAAAGAGGAGATTAATAAAATTGTTTGATCTGCAAAAACCACCATGAGCTAAATCAAAAGATGAACTTTTTTAAAAAGATTTTATCTATTTATTTGAGAAACAGGGAGAGGGAGAAGCAGACTCCCTGCCGAGCAGGGAGCCAGATGCGGGGCTCGATGCCAGGACTCTGGGATCATGACCTGAGCCAAAAGCAGATGCTCAAAGATGAAAATTTTTAAAAAGGGGCACCTGGGTGGTTCAGTCAGTGAGTGTCTGCCTTCAGCTCAGGTCATGATCCGCTCGCTCTCTCTCATGCTCTCTCACTGTCCAATAAATAAAATCTTTTTAAAAATAATAAATAAAATTTATTTATTTTTATTTTTTATTTTTTATTTATTTATTTGGCAGAGAGAGAGATCACAAGTAAGCAGAGAGGCAGGCAGAGAGAGAGAGGAGGAAGCAGTCTCCCTGCAGAACAGAGAGCCCGATTCGGGGCTCGATCCCAGGACCCTGAGATCATGACCTGAGTCGAAGGCAGAGGCTTAACCCCCTGAGCCACCCAGGCACCCCTTATTTATTATTTTTAAGAAGAGCTTTATATTTAAGAATAGCTGCAGGTCATTTCATAGAGGGCTATTTTTCCTTAGTATATAAAGAATTCTTCTAAATCAATATGAAAAAGAATAGCCCTATAGAAAAATAGGAAAAAGACATGAACAGGCAGTTCAGAGACAAGGATATCAAACAGTTCTTAAACAGTCAAAAGATGTTCCACCTCCCTCACAGAAGAATGGCAACTACAGAGATTTTCACTTTTCACCTATGGGATTGTCAAAGATGAAAAACGTTGGTGACAATATCGACCAGGGTATTTACAAAGAGCTATTCTCTTAGCGGCCGGTGGTCGTGCAAACTGATGAATGTTTATGGAAAGGAGCCAGGCAACATCTACCTGCAGTCATCCGTGAGCCTTCCCACCCATACGTGGTTTGTGTGTGGCTCCTGGACCATGGGAATATTCTCTGAGCAGGCCTGGGGCAGCAAACCAACTTGGGGAGACAGCAAGAGAAGCAGGGTAAGGAAAGAAACATCAATGACAATGAATAGGAAAATCAAAGAGAACAGACACAGAAGTTGCAGGGAAAAAAAACAGAGAAGATAAGAAAGAACCCACAGAGCTAAAATTTACGGAGCAACTGAGAGGTTCTAAAAATTTACACAAGGAAGCCATGAATCAGCAAAACGAGCTGTTCATGTTAGCAACACGGTCTATGGCACAAGACCCACTCATCCTTATTCTTAGAGATGATTCTCTAGAGAGGAAAGTTGCTAAAAAGTAAACTCACATAAATGAAATGACTATACTACTCGTTGGGGCCCCACTGTGGAGGTGTTTGTATTTTGTTAGAAAAGGATGATTGCATTGCCAAGCCACTGACAGTGAATTAAAGAACACAGCACACACAGTGCTGTGTAGTTAAAAACTAAAGAAAAGGGGGCGCCTGGGTGGCTCAGTGGATTAAGCCTCTGCCTTCGGCTCAGGTCATGATCTCAGGGTCCTGGGATCAAGCCCCGCATCCAGCTCTCTGTTCAGCAGGGAGCCTGCTTCCTCCTCTGTCTCTCTGCCTGCCTCTCTGCCTACTTGTGATTTCTCTCTCTCTCTCTGTCAAATAAATAAATAATCTTAAAAAAAAAAAAAAAAACCTGAATAAAAGGAGAGCAAAGGCAAAAGAGGAAAGCTGAGGCACCAGAATGATCATGGGCTAATGGTCATGGAGAAGCCTGGAAGCCCAAGAGGCATTTCATCCTCCCCCAAATTCTGTTTTGCTTATAAACAGTGTAACTTGCTGACATAACCTCCTTCCAGGTCTGTCAAATGATACCATCAAAAGAGCAGATTCCTTTTTGGAGTAGGTATTTGGTTCCTTGAGGCTTAGGTTCAAGGAAATTCGAATCTGACTTCCAAAGGGGAAAAAAAAGAATCCAAACACTAAGTTGTCACTGAAACAGAGTAAAAGAAAACCTACTCTGGTGTCATTGTTGCTGAATGCACAGGCACAGAGCCATTGAAATGGAAATAAAAGTTGTTACCATGTGAAAAAACAACAACACAAAAACCCACACCACTGAGTAATAAAGACTACAACTGCACGTCCTTGAACTATCTGCAGCCGGTTAAGAAGAGCAGCTTGCACCAGGGCAAATGTTTGGACACCGAGATCCTAGCTTGGGAGAGGAGTGGGTGGTGACTGGTAGGAGGCTGCAGGGGGCCTTGCCAGCCTGGGTGCTGACTGCGGATGGGTTCCATTCAGGAAACTCACGCAGCTGTCCTCCTGTGACTTTTCTGTATGTCTGTGCATCTTCAATAACGTTTACTGTTAAGTTGCTTTGTCACTGCCTGGGGAAAGGAATGGGAAGAGGCTTTTCGCGGTACAACCTTTGAGACCTTTTCAGTTTTGAAACAGATAAATGCAATATTACATAATCCAAATGTCGAGGCCAGAGGTTGGCAAAGTGCAGCCTGGAGGGCAAACCTGACTTGATCCCTGTTTAGCATTTTGGTTTTTAACTGGGATATGATCGGAATACCATAAAATTCAGTGGTTTTGGGGGCACCTGGGTGGCTCAGTCGGTTGAGCATCTGCCTTCCTCACAGGTCATGATCCCAGGGTCCTGGGATCGAGCCCTATGTCAGGCTCCTTCTCCCTCTGCCCCTCTACCCCCACTCACATGCTCTCTCTCTCTCTCAAATAAAATCTTTTTTTAAAAATTCAGTGCTTTTTAATATTTTTAGTATAGTCACAAGATTGTGTAACTGTTGTAATAAGCACTAGGTCTTATAGAAGACCAATGAAGCACAGACCTATACCCCGAAACAAACAATGCAGTCTATGGTAATTAACTGAATAATAAAAAAAAAAAAAGACTAAGCTAAAACTTCCCAAACAAAAAAATCGTATAACTGATATCATCATCTAGTTCCAGAACATTCGTCACCCCAAAGAGAAGCCCTGTAACCCTTGGCAGTCACTCCCCATTTCTCCCTCGCCTCAGTCCCTGCCAACCACTCATCTGTTTTCTATTTCTATGCATTTGCCTGTTCTGTACATTTAACGCAAAGGGAATTATACAAAATGTGGCCTTTTGCACTTGGCTTCTTTCATTTGGCACATTTGCAAGGTTCTCTACATTACTGCGTGAATCAGTATGTCGTGGTTTATTACGGCTGAGGCATGTTCTATTGTGTGGATCCACATCTGTCTCCCCAACCACCACCTGGTGGCCATCTGGATTGCTCCTTTGGGCTATTATGAATAATGCTGCTATGAGCATTCACGTACGTGCTTTTGCGTGAACGTGTTTTCAGTTCTCTTCAGCATGTTGCCACGAGCGGAATTTCTGGGGTGTATTCTAACTCTGTGCTTAGCTCTTTGAGGAATGGCGAAAGTATTTCCAGGTGCACCATTCTGTCTTCCTGCCAGTAATACGAGAGTTCCAAATCCTCCACAACTTCACCAACATCTGTCATATTCCATTTTCTGGAAATCTCAGTGGTGTGCAGTGGTATCTCACTGTTTTTGTTTTTTTAAGAGTTTATTTGGGGCAACTGGGTGGCTCAGTGGGTTAAGCCTCTGCTTTCAGCTCAGGTCATGATCTTGGGGTCCTGGGATGGAGTCCCATGTGGGGCTCTCTGCTTGGCAGGGAGCCTGCTTCCCCTCTCTCTCTGCCTACTTATGACTCTCTCTCTCTGTCAAATAAATAAAAATCTTAAAAAAAAAAAAAAAAGATCTTATTTATTTGTCAGAGAGAGAAGCAGGCTTC